AGAAATGAAAACATCAATAAAAAAAACCTTCATAGTAGTCAAAACAGGGCTGTGCTTACAAATTTTCAGTTATAACTTCTAGCGATATAATGGGCAGTAAGTATAATTAATATCCTATACACTTGAAACTTACTCAGAGGATAGACCTTAAGTGTTTTCATCAGGTAAACAATGGCAATTATGTCAGGTGGCAATTATGTCAGGTGACTGAAATTAGCTTGATTGTAGGAATCATTACATAAAATATATTTATATCAAAATACCAATGTTGTACAACTTAAATATGTACAACTTTTCATTTGTCAAACATAACTTGGTAAATCTGGAGAGCTACTCTCCCGCCCAAAAAACCACTGTGGTACTGGTGTAAGGACTGACATATAAAATAAGAGAAAAAGAGTTGTCATTCCAAAAATAAAACCAACATATACAGTTAACTTTCTTCCAAAAAATCTTTTTAGTATTTGAGGTCAAACTCAGGGCCTTTCTCATCAACTATTTGACAAAATGCCAAGATAATTACATGGGGGAAAGAATAGTCTTTTCAACAAATGATGCTAGAACAACTGGATAGGCACATACAAAAGAATGAAGAATGTACCTTATATCATTAATAAAAGTTAACTTCAAATGACCCAAAGACATAAAAATAAGAGCTGAAACTATAAAACTCATAGCAAACATAGGAGTAAATCTTTATGGGCTTGGGCTAGACATTAGGTACAACACTAACCACACATGTGATAAAAGAAAATAAGTAGATTAACTGGACTTCATTAAAACAACAACAACAACTTTGTTGCATCAATGATTACCAATACTAAAGTTAAAAGACAACCCACAAAATGGGAGAAAATATTTACAAATCATATAGCTGATAAAATACTTCTATCTAGAATATATAAAGAATGTTTGCAATTAAATAAAAATATTAAAAAATACCCAATTAAAAATAGGTAAAATATTTGAGTAGATATTTTACAAAGATATATGGGTGGCCAATTAGTTCAAGAAAAAATGCTTAATATCACCAGTCATTAGCAAAATGCAAATCAAAATTGCAATGAGATACTACTTCCTATCTAACAGAGTGACCATAATAGAGACCAGACCAGAAGTGTTGGTGAAGCCAGGTGCCGGTGGCTCACACCTGTAATCCTAGCTACTCAGGAGACAGATCAGGAGGGTCCTGGTTGGAAGCCAGCCCAGGCAAATTGTTAGTAAGACCCTATCTTGAAAATATTCAATACTAAAAAAAAGTACTGGTGGAGTTGCTCAAGTGGTAGAATAACTGCCTAGCAAGCGTGAGGCCCTGAGTTAAGCCCAGGTACCACCAAAACAAAAAGTGTTGGTGAGGATGTGGAGAAACTCGTAGAAATGTAAAATGGTGCCCTTGCTTTTGAAAGCAGCTGTGCTATTACTCAAAAATTAAACAGAGTCACTGCATGGCTCACCAATTCCACTCCTAGGTATTATACCCCAAAGAGCTGAAAATGCACATTCCCATAAAAACTTGTATGTATCTTCAAAGCAGCATTAGTCATAACGTCATAACAAATACTGAAAGCAATCCAATGTCTGTGAACTGGTAAGTGGATAAACAAAATGTGGCATTGCCATATACAAGGAAATCTCCAACTAATAGATTTTGGAAGAGATTTTTTTGTAGGATGGACCACAGGGCCTCACAGTTCAGACTACCTTTGTGAATAAAATGCTATGAAGGAAATCTCAAGTCCTTCACATTAATTCCCTGCTCTGGGATGTAGACTTTCGTTCCCTGTGGAATTGTAATTCATTGTTCTTAGAGACATAAATTGTACATTCACTAAAATATTATTTATAAACTTCAATGAAAAAATTCAGATAGTAGAAACACTAATACAGTAATTACACTTAAGTTTTAGAGCTAATTTTATTGCAAAAAAGTGTCCTTAAATTATATTTTTTGACTTTGTCCCTAGAGAAATGCCAAAACCTGCAGGGGAAAACCTGTTAATAGTTGGAGGTAGCCATGTCTGGGTAGGCTATATAACAAAGTAATGTAATTAACTCTTTAGAGTTTCAGTTCACATGGTTTAGGGATGGGGAATGGTAGGAATGTCTATTTCACAGAGTTAGTCAGACCCATGCTGATCAAGGCTTAACTATATATCAACAGGAGTCATGGCAGAATATAAGGAAGATTAGAAAACTCTGAATGGGTTTTCACTGCCATTGCCCAGAAACAGCACAAGTCACTTCAACTTCATCATAATTTCCTTTGCTTCTCTAACTTAAAGAGGCTGAATTTTCCAAGGGACTTAAATGGATAATATATGGTGACATTGCAGTCTGCTGAATCAGTCAACTGTAGCAGGAGACCTTGTTTTAGAGCTGTTTCCCATAGATAGAAATTCCTCCTTCTCCCTCTACTTAAGTAAGAACCACTGATGCGTCAGTTTACTATAGAGATACCTGCACAACCATGTTTATTGCAGCAATATTCACAATGCCAGGTGATGAGTCAGCCATTAATGAATGGATAAAGAAAATGTGGTATGTATACACAAAGGAGTTTTATTTAGCCATGAAGACAAACAAAATAGTTTTTAGGAAAATGAATGAACAGGAGATCACCATGTTAAGTGAAATAAGCCAGACTCTTAACGACAAATATCACATGTTTTCTCTCATGTGTGGAATCTGGGGGTAGAGGAGAAGACATGAAAGTAAGAGGGACATTATTAGGGATGTAGAAGAGGAAAAGGGGGAGACTGAGGGGGGATAAGAAAAGGTATTAATTAGGAGGGTGAATTTGATCAAAGTACATTATATTTATGTATTGAAATGTCATGAAACCCCCTACTTTTATAATTTTTAAAAATGTTAAGAAATAGAAAAGAACCATGGCTAGACAACTTAGGATAGATGAGCTTCAGATTCTTTGAAGCAAGATTTGGGACGAGGATGAAGGTAAGGAGGGGACAAATACCCCCTTGGTGTCTTTTGTGGGACCATTGTCTCTGATTCATCTTTGCTTTCCCAATGCAGCATAGAGTCTGGACTATAGCAGTAGCTCACTAAGTGTGGGAGGAGTTCAGTTTTGTTCCAGACACAGCTCAGGTGAAAACCCACAGTCTGAATAAGAACATCTTCCATGGTGATCTTTCAGTTGGAAGGTTTTGAGGAAATTCCTTCACTTTAGTTAAGTAGAATTAAGAAAATACACAAATTCTGAGAGAAGAGGAGAAAGAATTGATTCAATATGAACAAAGATCACCTTTATTGTTCTGGTTCTATCATGACCACCATACCTGACAATGAAATTTGTAGGGCTGAAGTAAAAAATAAACTCAGTGCTTTGGAAGGCTACAACGAAATGCATCAAGATTTATTCTATTCAACAACAGTAAAGGTATTTGGATAATATGTCTTAAGAGGCTTAGTTACCAATCTGCACACCAGTATTTATATTATTAAGTCCTCTAGCTTATGGTCTCTGCCCACAGAGCCATTTTAAATTGTACTGTCAGTTTTATTATCGTCAAATATTTCTTCCGTAACATATCCCTCCTATTCAAAATCTAGGACCAAACTCTTTAATTTTGGGATCTTTAGTTCTTCACATAACATCTCATTCTTTAAAATATCATCATCCTCCTTTAACCATGCTCTCAAATGTTTCTGCTGTGATCAGAGCGAACTCTTCCTTAGGCTGCACATACTGGCTAACACTCAGCCACTTCCCTTCTTACCTATCTACTGAAATTTTGCCAACTGTTTAAATTGATACTGTACCATGAAGCCTTCTTCCCACCGACCTGAGCTCCTGAAGCACCTATGGTCTATTATAGTCATCTGGGCATCAAGAACTGTTCCAAAGTTTTAATTTCAATGTTCTGAGCCTCACTTATGCAGAGTGATGGTATGAGCTTCTGCAGGGACTCTTATTTTATATTCTCATATATGGACCAAGAATGGCCACTCAAGAAATTGTTTATCAATATTTTCCTGATCTTTATATTTGTTTTAAATAAAGCATATCATTTTTGAAAATAAAAATACTAGATTTGGAGTTTGGGGGATTTATCCTACATTAACCATCTCCTGATTCTGCTTCACCAATGTTAATGTTTTGCTTGGCCACAGGCAGATCTGTTCCTGGATTTCCTACTTTACAAGTGTATACAAAATTTAGGTTCAAAGCCAATTCTAATTTTTTTTAACCTCATTCTCAGGCAAGGACTCTACCACTGGAACTGTGCCCCCAGCCCTTTTTGGTTTTCTTTTGTTTTTGAGAGAGTCCTGCTAACTTTGGCTAGACTAGCCTCAAATGCTCAATCTTCCTGCTTCCACCTCCCAAGGAGCTGAGGTTACATGCATTACCATGCCTGGCTCCTATTATATCTTTAATAGATGGATTGACTATTATGCCAAGTAAAGTTATATACAAACAAAAATATCCATTTCATTGAAAATTTACAATATTATTAAATACCTAAATCCATACTTAAACAACAATAACAACAAAGCACAGTTTGTAGAAAATAATCTGTAATTAATCTTAACTTGTTTGCTTTACCTTTCAAAAACTCCACTGATAATCTGGGGATGCTTCCAGCTTCAATCCAAAGAGAAAACACACGCTAAGAACTCATCCTCCTGCCACCCTCAGCTGTGCCTCTATTTTCTCTGTTTTTCCTTTGACACTCCTTTAAAACTAGTGAAAAGCCCGGAAAAGTTTTTTAAACTTTCAAATCTCCAAGCGTATCATAAAATCCTTTGTCAGTTTACCCAGTCCAATTGAGTCTCTTCATTTCTTTTTCAAGCCAATCAGTCGCTTGACAGCCTGATTTGCCAGTTTGTTTCCTGCTACATCTGTTTGGAGATTCTTGGTACAGAATGAAACCATAAAAAGTCTAAAGTAGAGCAGTTTCAGACTAAATGAGAACAACCTTCCCACAAAGCAACCTGGTAACTCACAAAACTGCAGGCAGGATGAATGATGGAGCATTCACCAATAGGGAGTGGAGAAGAGGATTTTGTGGAAGTTTGTAACCCAATCCTCGGGAGCCAGAGGTGGGAATTTTAAAACAAGATTGTCTTTTCCTTGGAATTTTCTTAAAGTGATATTGCTGCCCGTTAGATGTTAAGAGTTTGTAAAAGGTTGTAAAATCATCAGTTTAAATTAGAGACTTTCCACCTTTTAAGGGAGACAAAAATACGTAGATTTTCTATAAACTGAGAAAACTAAGTGTCATACAAAGTAATAGTATACTATCACATATATTTACTTTGGCAACTTTTGTGTCAATTTGGAGAGGGGATAAAAGTTATGTTAACATGATTCACTTTTCATGACCAAATATCAGATGCTAATGTATACAAAAAACAGTATTTCTTTCTTTAAAAACAAAACAGGACTGGTGGAGTGGCTCAAGTGGTAGAGCACTTACCTAGCAAGGGTGAGTTCAAACCCCAGTATCACCAAAATAAATAAATAAAACAAAAACCCCCCAAATTAAGAAGCTACATTGATTACTTTAAAATGTTTATTGTTTCTGTGTGTATGACTCTTCCAATATTAGCAGGAAATCTTATTTGAGCTAATCCTTGATACCCTAAGAGTTTTTCCTTTTACATAAACAGTAAGTTTCCTTGTTTTAAATCCAGGAAAAAAATTGAGATATTAAGAAACTCTATAAAAGGTCTTTAAAAATACAGGGTATATACGATGCCATCTACTTCACTAACTCCTGAAAGACCAGATTTAATAAATAGATCATTGATGTATATATTTCTTATTATAACTCATTTCGGCTTTCCAGGTTATTCCTCTCTAAGAGTAATTAAGCTAACATAAGACTAATTCATTTTAAGTTTGAGGTTTGCTTCACAGCAAGCCCCTAGCAAATTAATAGACGTTAAGCTTTTCAAAAGACGAAAAAAGAGATAAGCTTTAGAAGGGGGAAAATTTTCTTTTAAAGAAGGTAAGTTGATATAGTAATGAGCATGATATTAAAAAGTTTTTTTTTAAATGTTCCCGAACAATGCTTGGATTCTTCTTCCCCCGCACCCCCAGCATAAAACCTTCTTCCTTTGATGTCTCCACTGTCAGAAATTTCCGTCTTGAAGAAATATTGACTGCCTAGTCGGTCAAGCTAGGAAGTGTCATAATATTTAACTTACTAAGTTGTTATTGTCATTTTAAACAATTGTTTCTCATCTTTGGAACGTATTCACAGTGAGCCCTTAAATCCAGGGCCTGGATTCCCTGCTTGCTGCCTAACCTTGGCTACGTTACATGGCCATCAGCCTCGGTTTAAACCCGTCAGACTGGTGCAATAACAGTACCTTTATTGTGGGACTGCTGTCAAGGTTAGCGAGAAAAATCTGTGCACAGGTTTTAGCTCGCAATCTAATGCACCATAAGCGCTCAACGTCGGGTGCTATTGCTGTCATCTCTCAACGTACGAATTGAATGAGAGCCCGATCGCCGGAATAAATGTATAAATGAAGGAGAAGGTCAGTTACTGGCGGCTCCTGAGGTTGGCGCCGGCTAAACTACTGCTCCTTCAAGATACTAAGCAAAAACAAGCTCTCTTGACATCACGCTGAGAGCCGGACACGGAAGTGAGCGCGGAGCTATGGGCGGGGCCCACTTGGAGGAAGCTGAGCTTTCGACCAATAGGCATTATCTCTCGGAAAACGAACCTCTCGCCCCACCTATCGTAAAACCGCGAGAACTGAGGCGAATTATCGCGAGGTTCCCGTTCTCTGCTTGGCTCCTTCTGCCCCAACTCCCAGTATTGCGGGTTCCGTACCGCCTCCAGGCCCCGTCCCCGCCCCCCGCCCCGGCTCCCTAGTGCCCTGTCCGGCTTGCTGTCTGTCCCTCCGCTCGCCTTCCAGCGCTGCCCGCTCTCTGGAGCGCTGGCGCCGAGGTGAGTGCTGCCGTCCACCGCCTCGGGGAGACTCACGGGTTGAGGCTCTCTGACCCGACGCCCAGTCAGGATGCTCCATAGCGGTCCCGGCGACAAGGACTGTTCGGGCCTTGGGTGACCACGGCTACGGGTCCTCCTGGCCCTCCGCGGCCCCTCGGCCCGGAGAATCTCTCCGTGCTCACGGCTGCCGATTTATAACGACCTCAGTGTATGGCTATCTCGGGCAGAACGGCGTGTGTTTTGCCTAAGACATCTGCTAGCTTTTCTTAGTACTGAGAAAATAGCTGGGTTTTTTTTCCCCCACAAATGCTTTTAATATAGTTTATAATCCTCCAAAAGGTTTTTAATCTCCAAGGTTAGGAAAATGGAATGAGTATTGTACCGGATTAAGTACGGGAAAAATCAGTCTAAGGGACTCCTTTAAAATGAGCTAAAAAACTGTGGAATTTTCTTAGGATGGGAGGGGTTTTTTTGTTGTTGTTGGCCTTAATAAGATCGATTGGTGTTCGACTGTCAGAGAACGCGCGTGGAGGTGCAGCTGTATACAGTGAAACTAAATACACCATTTGCTTTAGCTGTGGGCCGGAGGTGGTGAAAGGGGTAAGAAATTTAGCCTGTGAAAGGCTGCGTATGGGAAAACCAGGGGTATTGTTGATCATTGGCAGCTTTCATTTGTATAGAGTTTATCTCCCGACCTGTCTTTGTAGCAAAGTGAACAGGATGCAGTTTTTTTTTTTTTTTTTGAGGCAACCAAGTCCCAGCCAAAACATTTAGGAGGAAAGCCCTAAGGTTTCATTGAATTCTGTTATTGAATCTCGTGGATTTTTGGATAGTGCTTTAGTTTACAAAGGAAAGGGCTTTCATTTCTGTAAACTTTGTCTACCACAAAAATGATGATAGGAAGAAGCACCAGCTACACTGATGTGCATGAAAGGCTGCATGGTAGCCAGGTGCACAGGGTTTGCAGTAAGGTGGCAGGTGGCTTCCATTGTAATTCTGGCAAGTTACCTTCTCAGAAACTCAGTGTCCTCATCTGTAAAATGGGCTTGGAATGTCTATTGCAGTGCATGGTTGTAAGGAATAGAGATCTTTATGAAGCTAGTTTATAGAATCTGTAAGTGGGCTTGAGGTGGGAAGATGAAAAGTTAGCCTTGCAACTTTCTGGTTTCATTCAGTTATTAACTGTTTGGAGGCTTGCCTTTAGGTACTGCGCTACATAAAGAGGGCAAATGTGGGGAAAGCAACAGATCTCTGCCCTCTGGATTGTATGGGCTCTTGGCTAAATTCACAGCAAACAGGTACACCAGTGAAGATGTAGATTACAAATTGCGAAGAGTCCCAGGAAGAAAATCGAATAGCTGAGTTCTAAAATATTACCGTGGAAGTATTCTAGTTTGGGATAGGGAGGCAGTTTTTACCACGAAACTTGGAGGCTGATGTTACAGTGCTTCCCAAGCTAACAGAAGGGCAGCAGGTGGTGGGAAGAGTTTGGTGGCTTGAAGAGCTAGAGAAACCCAAGTGCCTGGGGAGAAGCCAGGAGGTTTTGAGAAGAGGCTGGAGGAGGGTGTAGGGCCTGATGGTGAAGAGTTTGATTTTTCTGAATAAGCTTCTGAAGGGTTTACTTAGTAAGATGTGTGCCTGAGAGAGAGGCAATCAGGTGTACATTTTCTAAGGCTCACTTCTGGGATTCATATGTTGAAAATGATTAAAGTGGACACATGGAGACCAGTGAGATACTTGGCCCAGGTAGGTGATGGCAGTGGCTTGTGGTTTGGGCAGATGGAGAGATGTGCCTGGATTTGGGATGTATTTTGGAAATGAAAACCACTAGCCTTGTGGTAGATGGAGAGGATGGAATCATGCATGGCTCCCAGTGGTGTGGCCTGAGCTCTGGATGATTGAAGGGTGCAAGTCTTCCCTGACTTACCAAGATGGGAGAGTCCAGGGGGTTTAGATTAGTAAGGAAAATGAAAAGCTTTCTGGGGATGTATTAAGTTTGGGATGCTTGGGAAACATTAAAACTGTTTCCAGTGTAGTACAGCAGTGAATAATTACCTAGAAACCTTCACTTTCCACAGAACCATAGGTACTGTTTGTTGTCTACTACTCCTTACTTCCTAGAGAGGCTTAAGACGGAAAGATTGTGTATTTTGCCAAAGTCCTATAATATATCTCAAAGTGACAGACATTTCATTGGGGATATTACTGAGCACTGCATGTGAGTGCCGTTTTATATAAAATGGCAAGTGATGTCTTACTGCTGGGAATTAGAATTTGGAAATACAGTAAGCCTGTTTTATTCACGGATTTATCACACAGTTGACTAAGTGCAGTCAAAAAGATAATTAAAAAATTCTCAAAGACAATTTTAAATTCTGTCACATGCTGCATTACATGTCTCAATTGATGCAGAGCAGCTCAGTAAGTCCTGTGTAAGTCGTCACTTGTGTTTGTTTTCATCTGCTGAGTATTTTTATTTCCCTGCCCCTAATTTTGTGAAAATCTGCCTCCCAAAAGCAAGGTAAGTTAACGTGCTGAATTGGAGTGGTCAAGTGGAACATTTAGGTATGTTGAAAGGCAGCCTGTCTTTAGCAGAAGTTGGACAGTGTTAGCGGAAAAACGCATCAACTGTCCGAGGAAAGCATAGCGCTCTGTGCACACTGAGCATGCGCAGTCTTTCTCCTCCACAGTGATCTCTTTGAAACCACGTATCAACATGTATTGCCATAGAAAACAACCAAAAAGTTGCAAAACTATGTTTATTGAAGCTTTGTTATTCTCAGTGGAAGTTATTAAGAAAAAAAAATTCTTTGAAAAGGTACACCAGCACACACACCAAGAAAGTAAAATCTTTGAGTAAAATTTTTTGTAGGTTTTTTTATTTTTATGTCTTTTTATAGCATTTCCTTAGTATCCTGTGGAATTTTGTGAGTCAGTGTTATGAGCTGTTCCACTGTGAAGAAATTACAGAAGCCCCAAGTTTCTCTTTGTGTTAAGTGATAGTAAAGTTTTCTTCAGCCCTGTGCCTAGTGGGTAAGATGTCAGACTTCTCTTCCTGTCAATTATGGAGCTAGAAGAGAATTTAAAATAACTTGTCCTGGACAAAGACCTTAAAACCAGTACACCAGTTGTTAAGTCTATTTTATGTACTAGTCAGCTAAGGCCCAGACAGATTGTAGTTCTTATTTCCTCATGCAGGCTTTCTTCTTTCATTGAATAATTTAAAACTCTATGAACTTAGACCTGTTTCCTTGCTACTTATGGTAGTCTGCAAAGATAAAAGAATAAAACAATAAAAGAAATAAGAAAATGAAATATAGGACAATATTTAGATATTAGGAAATGAAAATGAGGTTGTGGTCTAGATAGATATATAAACATTTTTAGATATTTAAGTTAAATATAAAGTGACGTAGTTCATGATGGAAATGAGGCTTGCTCCAGGCTGGTCTGTTTTCTTAGACAAGGATTCATACCTCAAAACCCAAAGTTATTTTTTGCATTAGGAAAAACATTTTTCCTTTTTTTTTTTTCAGTGCTGGGGACCAAACTCAGGGCTTTGCACTTGCCAGGCAAGCACTCTTCCACTGAGCTAAATCCCCAACCCCAGGAAAAACATATATACACACATACGTTTTGGGGCATTACTGAGGATTGAGCTGAGGACCTAGCACATGCTAGGCAAGCACATTAACAACTGAGCCATATCGCTAACTCTTTTTTGCTTTAGGTTATTTTTCAGATAGAGTCTTATGCTTTTTTTTTCCCCCTGGCCAGCCACAGATCACCATCTTCCTGTGTAGCTGGGATTACAGATGTGTACCACCTTGCCTTGTTTGTTGAGATTGGGTCTTGCTAACTTTTTGCCAGGCTGCCTTGAACTCCGATATTTTTGATGCTCTCCTGCTTCCCAAGTAGCTGAGGTTACAGGCAGGAGCCACTACGCCCAGCCATTAGGACTATTTCTCATAACTAGTAAACATCTTTAATCAGAGTATGTTTTATTACACTGTTACTCCTTCAAAGTACGTGAGAAAAACAGCATAGAATGTATAATTATCTCTTTAGTGTCTTGCATATGTAGCTCTACATGTTAAAAATTTAAATGGCAGTGCTTGTAAGAAGTCTTACAATGGTTAAAATTTTCTTTATAGAAGTGGACCAATTTTGACAAGATGTAGTGCTGCAGCATCCCTGATGGGCTCTGTTCAGTTATGGCGTCCGAGCTTTGTAAGACGATCTCTGTGGCAAGGCTGGAGAAGCACAAGAACCTGTTCTTGAATTATAGGAATCTGCACCACTTCCCACTGGAGCTACTGAAGGATGAAGGCCTGCAGCACTTGGAGAGACTCTACATGAAAAGGAACTCCCTTACCACCCTGGTATAGTATTATGTCGCATTAGAAATTGTTGCTAAACGTTGCCCCGACCAAGATGTGCTTATATATCCTAAGATATTCAGACACTAGCGCATCCCCCTCTGTGACGTACACAGGCAGTGGGTGCAGGCTCACAGTCAGGGCTCGTTATGCTGTCCACGTCCTTGAGTTCTGAGGCTGCTGCAGGGCTTGTGCTACTTAGAAATGGGCCACCGAGATGTTCCCACTCAGAAGCCTGCCTCATTAGCATGTTTACCTATCCCAGCTTGGGCTTCTTTGTGTGTTAGCTTCCTAGGTGATTTCTGAAATGTTATAGCTCCCAACAGACTAGTTAAAAAGTAAACAAAGACTAAGAGGATGACCGAGTCATAGGCACCAAAAAGAGAATGATTTGAAGATTTAAGTGTTAAAAGAGGCATTTGGCAAGCTTAAGCCTGTGGGTGTGAACAAAACAAAACCTTTATGATTGATTGCTTTGTGAAAATCAAAAATGATTTTGAATTGGGCTGTCATACAATTTATTGGAAAAAATTTTGCTTCAGAAGCAACATTTGACTTATAAGCACAGAGTTTTCATAAATTTTATTACACATAGATAAACTTCAGAATTGTTCAAGAGAATATCCTAATCAGGATTTTATTCCCACTGGTTATAAAATTTGGCTCCCATTTTAAATGAGTTTCTTCATGTGGCCTTTTCTGATTACTTCACCTGATTTGAATCTTGAACTTAATTCTAGTTCTTACTCAGTTTTAGTGATTTATGACATCTTGTGTCTTTGAAATCATCCATTTTAAAACTAATTTCTATATTTGGCCTTTCCTAAATATCTGAAAAGTGTCTGGTATTGGTTTCACACACATGGTATGTGTTCCTGGCAAAGTTTATTTAATCTGTATAGAATCCCTATAGTAGGTAGAAAGTATTGTAAAGTTTCTCTTTGCCTTTGTATTTGGAAGTAAATGGATGTGTATCCATTTTTTAACGTTTGGCATATGAGTACCTATGTCATGTTGAGTGTCTACTTAGATTTTGAAGAATTAGGTTGCTCAGTTTTTAACCTGGAAAGTCTGTATACATTTACACCTGTTCTTTTGTACAGTCTTGAATGGTGTGAAGTCACATTTTCCTACTGTTCAGCCCTTCAGGGAAAAAGTAACGTAAGAAATACATTGTCAAGAATGATAGCCCAGACCTCCCTTGCTTGTTATTTGTGCATGTGACTTCTTGATGATCAGAACACTGGGCTTTTGAATTCAGGGCCTCACATTTGCTAGGCCAGCACTCTTACCACTTAGGCCATTCCACCAGCTCTGCTACCTGTTTGATCAAAGATTAAATTCTTGTATCTGTTTATAATGTTTATTTTAGTTGCTTTCTCTTAGCAAGTAAAATCTTTGATTTGTGTGTATGAAAGAATTTTGTAAGTAGGAAGTGCTGTACAGATAGGAGAGGATGGCGGGGTTCATCATGGTCACCCCACAGCTGTCCTGTTCCCTGAGTAGGTAGATATGAGACACCTTGCTGTACAGTTTTTAAAAGCAGATGAAATACTTACAGCGCCTCAACTAGTGACTCCTAGGGCTTTTAGGTTGTTTACTGATGTTAAAATAGGGTTCCTATTGTGGAATTTGACTTGCAACTGCCATACTCCTGGAGGGAGGGGTCATTATTTGCCATATTTAGCATCTCCAACACATTCTGAACTAGTTGGTCTGTTATTGTGTGTTTTTAACAAGCATGGTAACCTGCCAGTCATTTCCATTTTCATGTTGTTTTATTGTTTTTGTTGTGTTAAAGGCCTTCTCTTCAACACATTCGTCCTTTCCTCCACCCCATTGCTATGTGAAACTGCTTGGTGTAAAGAGAAGTGTGTAAAAACCTCTGCCCCTTGTTCTGCCCTGCTTGGCATAGCACAGTTGCTCCTATTTGGAGGATGATTGTATGCCAGGTATTCAGAACTGGGGAAATTGCTTGAATTTGAAAGTAATGCACAGGGAAAAAAGCCTTTTTATAAACTTAAATAAGCTTTTTCAGTTTTTTTAGTCACAAAAAAGTGATACATGCCCTTATGTCAAATAATACAGAATATTATTTGGGTAGCTTATAGGCAACAAAAGTTTATTGCTCATAGTTCTGGAGGCTGGAAACCCAGGATCAAGGCTCTGGCAGATCAGGTTTGTGGTAAGGGTCTACTTCCAGCTTCATGGACAGAGCCTTCTCCCTGTGTCCTTTTCTTTTTCAGGTCTTTAAAACCTACACTAACCCATGGGGCAGGAAGACCCTGGAGATTCCTACCCAATAATGAATGAGTGGGGAGGGGCAGGGATGGTTCCTAGCCAGGTGTGAGAGTGTCCTGAGCCATCCTTGGGCAACCTATATGAACTTCAAACCTTTCCTACTTCTAGCCTGCCTCATAAGCACCTCGCAAAGGCCTAGCCTCCTATCACCATCACATTGGGAATGGGAATTTCAACATGAATTTTGGGGTAGGCACAAACATTCATACCACAGTACCTCCTATTCCCTTGCATGTATATATGTAACTACTCTATCTTTTTTTAAGTCATAAAAATAGAATTATATTTATACATATTTCTTTGAAAATCTCTTTGTACTGCATGGCATTATTCTACTAAATTCTAGGCCAGTAGATATATGTCTGTTGCATGGATGTTCATGCTTTTTTCTGGTGGCACTGGGGTTTGAACTCAGGGCCTCATGCTTGTTAGGTAGGCGCTCTTACTGCTTGAGCCACTCCCCCCAGTCCTTGCTTAAGTTTAGGATAGTCTCAAAGGAAGGATTGCTTTGTCAAAAGGTAGACACGTTAAAATACTTTGAAGCAATATTTGATTATACCATATTCTTACTTATTTGTATAGCTAAGAAACCTTCAAACTTTTGAAAACATAATGAGTTGGTTTATGTAGGAATTCAATTATGTAATTAATAGGTAAACTAGAAATGGTTACAAGCCAGGCATGGTGGTACATACCTGTAATACCAGCTACGTGGGAGGCAGAAATTGGAAGGATCATGGTTCAAGGCCAGCCCAGGTCCCCCCCCCCCAAAAAAAAAAGTTAGCAAGACCCCATCTCAATAATCAAGCCAGGTGTTGTGATACACAGCTGTCATCTCAGTTGTGTGGGAGGTGGAGGTAGGAGTATCATGGTCCATCCTGAGCAGTATCTAAAGGGTAAACTAAAAACAAAAAGAGCTTGGGACGTGATTCAGTGGTAGAGTACCTGCATAGCAAGTGCAAGACCCTGAGTTTGAATCCCACAACTGCCTGCTAACAAAAAAGAGTGGTTAGGGCTGGGCATGGGGTTGTATGCTTGTAATTCAAGCACTTGGGAGTCTGAGGCAGGAAGACTGCAAGTTTGAGGCCATGCTGGGCTATATGTGAGTCTCTGTGTCAAAACCCCAGGGAAAAAAAAAATTACAATTAAAAAAATAAAAATAAGTGATTAGGAAACTGAAGGGGGCACTGTTTCCCACGCTCCCTCCCTTGCTGGAGTGAGGTTTTCTCTCTCTCTCCTTAATTATCACTGAACCTAACCGGGCTTAACTAGGGGTGACTGGAGATTTTAGAAAAGATGCAGGATAGACAGAAAGTTGGGGTCAGGTGTGTTGTACCCTTGGTTGGAGATGCACAACCCTTATTGCTTCTCTTTTCTATCTTGATTCTTTAAAGCCTTGATCCTCACAGTTCTTTAAAACCTTGCTTCTAAAGCCTTCTTTAAAACCTTGCTTAAAACCTCTTTCCTTGGGCCCCCACTGTCCCATGTTTGCTCTCAGCTTATCTTTAGCTTAATCTCTCTTAAAGTCTTTTGCCCCCAGGCTTGCACTGTCCCATCTCTCTTTAGCTCTCTCAAAGCCTCAGAGCTCAAACTTGCAAACAGCCGTGCCTACAAGCTGCACATGCATAGCTCTTACGGTCTCGGTCCTTAGACTTGCACTGTGCACTGCCCCGTGGTGTTCTCTTTGGCTTTTCTTTAGTCTTAGCTTTGCTAAGGCCTGTGTATGAAGTTCTCTCTCAGCTTTGCTTTCTGAAGCCTATGGTAAAGTTCTCGGTGCAGACTTTCTATCAACCTCTTTAGCATTTTCCCTTCAATTCTTTTCCCTCCCAAAAGCTTCCCACACCAAAAGGCCCAAAGTAAAAGCTTCTTCCCAATATTCAAAGGCAAAAAGCCCCCCAAAGCAAAAAGCCAAAAGCTCAAAGTAAAGCCCCAAAAGGCAAAAGCCCCTCCTTCTCCTTCAGGGGTCTTTTATAGCAGCAAACAGGGTGGCATCATGGGGAGTGGTGTGATATTGTAACAGGAGAAACTTGCATTTCTGCTTCTCTGAAGGAAGAAGCAGAAGGAGACACAGCTGTTCTGCCTTTCCCTGTTTCGTGCCAGGGCTGTGCCTCTCTCGGCCTACAGGTAAAAGCAATTAACTGTGTCTCACCTTGCTTGTGTCCATTTCTCATAGGCTTTAATCCGCTCCCCACAGGAAATGTTATGATTTTGGTTCCTAATATTTACCTTAAGAAGGTTTTTAAAGAATTTTTCTATAATTCTTTTCAATGCAATTGAAGAATTAAGTGCCAGACCTTCCAGATAGTTATAAAATAAGTAAGAGAACAGGAGTATAAAAGGATTTGTGTTTGTGATGTGGTAAATATTCACATAATTTATAGAATGAGTAAATGAATGCATGTAAAGTAAAATTGCATAGAGCCTATTTAATGAGTTCTAGACTATGAGCCTTTGAGGGTAGGAACTATTGATAAGAACTGCCCCTTCTGCAGCCTAAGCCACAGCTGGTTTCATCCCTTGCAAAACAAAGCCCGCTGTTCTTATCGCCCACCACCTCTCTTTGTCCATCCCTAGCCCTTGCTTTCTCCCAAATGCTACTTAAGACCAGACCCGCGGAGAGAAGCTGCTGCGCCATTTTCTCTCGGCCAGCCAGCCTGCTTAGTAAATCTTTGGACATGAGATAACTCTCGTGAGCCTCCTTTGTGTGCGGTGTGCGGCGTTTTCCTAACAACTATGTCTTGAGGTCTGTGTTCCCAGTGCCTAACCTGCTGCCTCACATTTTAGGACATAGAATTCAGTGCTGTGGACAGGATTGTGGGAGATTTGTTAAGTAAGACCCTGTTTGCACAAATAGCCCTGAAGGCTGACTTTGACAGGAACTTATTTACTCACTCAGATTTCCAGATTACTTCCTGTGTGCCCAGCACTTTTCAAGGCAATGACAGTGTATGCATCATGTAACCAGTTCTTTCTTCTGTGGAATTTTTAGCATCTTCCTTGGTTCATGGAGAGTGTTTGTTTGAAATGACTGAGAAAGGTAGTAGAATTATAAGTATTATTCAGCAAGCATTGGGCAATGATGCTCAGGGTAGAACCATCCACTGTGGTCAGTTCGCTGAGAGATGAAGAAGGTGCATTGTTGCCGTCACACAAGTTTAGATTCTCCCCAGTTGGGAAGGGAAAAGAAATACAGCTTTGAAGCAGCACACCAGTGCTGCTTAATGAATGCGAGTTCAGTAAGGTGTGAGTTAGCAGTGGAGGGCTGCAGTCAAGGAGGGGGTGCTGAGTTGTTTGGTAGCACAACTCAGGACTGAGATGTTAACAGACCCAGGTCAACCTTTCTATATCCTATTTCCCTCTTTTATAAAATGAAAGTACACAAAAGACTTGTAAGAAAATAAAAAATCTCAGCCTGGAATCAAAATCACTTACTGAATCTGTCGACTTTTTTTAATGATGTACTAGACCTTCCTGGGAATGAGTGAGTTACCATAGAGCTCTCACCCAGTGCTCATTTCATTTAGAAATATGAATGGGTGAAAAAAGAGGCATCTAAATGTTAGTGAAAGACAGAAGCAGATGGATTCTGACTAAACTATTTATCTATGCATAAGAGAGAATTTCATTTAAAAATGTATCTCCTGAGACCGCAGGAAAGAGGGTCTTTTAATCCTGACCTGAATTGGGAGGGAGGGGGCACAGGTGGTTTTTCTTTTCTCATGGCCCAGGAGAAAATATTCCTGATTCCACATGAAGTATGAGCAAGAAATGATAATTCAGATAATAAAAACACATAAAAGATGCTCCACTTCTAATAGAAAAAGTGATTAAGCATGCCTCATTTTTAAAGCTTAAAAAGATGAATAGCTGCTCTTAAGTGTCATTACGACACAGTGTTGGAGACCATGAGAAGATGCTGTCACGTGCTGTTGGAGTGAAGAGTGTCTTCTGTTGGGTGATTGGACCTTGTCTACAGTGAAATTTTCCATTAGTACACTTGCCAGAATTTATGCAACAGAAAAAATCAGGTGAGCAAGGATGCCCAGAACAGCAGTGTACATGGTGAAAAATTGTTTCAACCTCAGTGTCCATTTGTGTTGAACTGGTTAAGATCTGATAACAGCCAACATGGCTTGAGTCTTTACCAAGACAGTTACAACAGATAACAGGTATTGTTTTAAGCAATTTATATGTGATATTTAATTCTCAAGACAATCCTTTTGAGGTAGGCACTTTTATTACCCCTATTTTATAGATAAATAAACTAAAGCATTGAAAAAAAGTTACATCAAAGTTAGTGATTACCACACTGTGGGTAAGTGGAGGGTGTGAGGGTGAGGAGGGGGGGCAGAAGTATTTATAGTAAAAATGTGCTATTACGTTTGTTCTGTGTGCTATTATATTTTGTTATGTTCTTTTCAATGATTACTTGTTTCTTTATAACTAAAGTAAGATGGCTGGAATACAGTACCTCTAAGGTTTATCCACCTCAGGTTTTATTAATTGAGGAGTCTGCATTTATGCTGTGTTAACATAAATGACTCCCTTGCAGCTGGCAATTTGGTAATTCAGGTTGAGTATCCTGTACCTAAAATACTTGGAATCAGAAGTGTTTTTAGACTGGGAAGTTTTTGCAGGTACATGATGAGATATCTTGGGGATATCTTGGGGATGGTATATGTTTCCTATATACCTTACGCACATACCCTGAAGATAATATTAGGCAATATTTTTAGTGCTCTTCTGTTTTTACTGCCCCCTATCACATAAGGTCAGGCATGGGATTTTCCATTTGTGGTATCACATCTGTGCTCAGGTTTTGGATTTTAGAGTAGTTTGGACTTTGGATCAGGGATGCTCAGCCTGTAGTAGGATCTGGGTCAAAAGAGCATTGGGGGCAGCTTGAGGGGAAAGCAGTAAGTTAAGGAGATAGCATAAAAGAGTGTGTAACCAGGAGGAAAAGGGAGAGGGAATTGAGTTTTATTGTTCAGTTCATTTTGAATTCCAGTGCCTGGAGCCTCTTGTTTTTCCCACCTGTTGGACCCTTGTATCCTCCACTACTGCTTGAGTTCAGGGCCTTCACAACCTCTGTGATTGCTCCATTCTTGAGTTAGCTGTGTAGAAAACCAGCTTAGTTATTTCTACAGTGAATAAATGGAAGTAGGGGGGCGTATCAGATACTCAAGCTTTCCCATGGGCTGCTTGTGTTTTGGGGTCTACATATAAACATGGCGTAGTCCTAGAAAGCAGTCCATACAAGTGCGTCTGTCTTGGTTACACACACATGCCAGAAGATTGAGTTTATTACAAATCAAAGCCTCTTTTCCTGTTCAAGTTTCAGAGGAGAAACTCCCTCTCATCATTGCTGTTTCTACATAGTTAATAACCTGTGGTGGCTTCTCAGATGTCATTGAAAGTCTTTTAAAGTTAAGTCGATTATTTGGACAAGTTTTCTTTTTGAGGAAACTAAACTTAGATGAGATCAATGGTGAGTCTAAAGTACTTGTATGGCCAGGTTAGAACAAAAGTAAATTCTCCAAATTTGTAGTCCATTAGCACAGCTTTCATGTCAGTTCTGCAAGTAATTATTGATGGCCTGTTTCTAAGCCTAGCAGTACACAGTTACAGTTTAACCACACATCCATCGGGGAGCGATGAGATGCGTGTTACATGAATTTTCCAGTTAACTTTGGACATTTAACCTCTGGAGTTTTAACTGTGAGTTAAACAGAAATGTTTTTAAAACATGAATCATTCTATACCTTCTGAAATAAAATCTAGGGAACCTGACACAACTACTCTTTGCAATTTATAGTTACTACCTGGGCATTAGGAGGGAGGATTTAAGTGGTGGTAAGAACAGGGGTCTTTCCCCTGTGCCAGGCCATTGCCATGTGCACTTGAAGGTACTGTTTGCAAGCAGAAGGCTCCAAAGTCATTGCCATGTGTGTTCCCAAAGGTTAAATTCATTTTCAATCCTTCACTGGTGCTACAGTGAGGTTCCTGACCACTCAGAGTGCACAGCAGCTTCTATGTGTTCGTCCCACCAAGTGTCAACAAACATTTATCACATGTAAGGCCCTTGAACTATCAGACATTGATCTTAGAACACAGCCCTCCCCCCAAAATTATACGCTTATGAAATTATTCGGCTAGATGTAATTTTAAGTGCTCGATCTGGTTTTATGGGAATAAGTCTTTACTATTTTAATGTGTGTGTTTCTAGTGCTTTGAAAATTCCAATTATAAAATCATACGGATTGAATGTATATTAGGTAATTTAAAAAAAAATAATAGTTGAGCATGTGGCACACACCTGTAATCCTAGAGCTTGGGAGACTGAGGCAGAAGTATCATAAGTTGGAGGCACCAATAAGACTGTTCTCAAAAAAAACAAAAAAATGAAAAATAGAAAGTTACATAAAGGTAAGTAATTCTCCTTTAACCCTTGTTTACAATATTTATGTAACTTTCATTTTAAATGTTATTTTATATCATTATTTCATTAATATTATATAATTTTTATTATTATTATTGTTTGGTGGTATTGAGGTTTGAACTCAGGGACTCATACTTTTGTTAGGCAGGCATTTTACCACTTGAGCTATGCCCAACCCTGTTTTGCCTCAGTTACTTATCAGATAGGGTGTTCCATTTTTTGCCCAGGTCTGGCCTTCTGCATACCTGGGATTACAGGCCTGCACTACCATGTCCAACTTGTTCTTTGATACATGAGCTCTCTTTTTGCCTGGGCTGGCCTCTAACTGTGATCCTCCTGATCTCTACTTCCTGAGTACTGGGATTATAGGTATCCATCACCATGCCAAGATTATTTGTTGAGATGGGGGTCTCATTAACTTTTCCTGGGTTGGCCTTGAACCATGATCCTTTGGGTCTTTTCCTCTCCAGTAGCTGGGAATGTATCACTCTGCCCAGCCTTAAAACATTTTTTTTTAATTTTTATTGTTTTATTATTCATATGTGCATACAATGCTTAGGTCATTTCTTCCCCCCTGCCCCCACCCCTTCCCTTACCACCCACCCCGCCCCCTCCTTTCCCCCCCCACCCCCTCAATACCCGGCAGAAACTATTTTGCCTTTATCTCTAATTTTGTTGAAGAGAG